GAAGAAACTGTGATCTTGAAGATGGTGATGACGAGTTGCGATGGATTCAGCGTCGCCGTTCCGAAGTAAAAGGCGGGAACTCTGGCGACTCTCGGTGTGATTTTTCCCCTTTTTTAACTTGTACTTGAATCTGAATGCTATATTTTTTTTGTTATTTTACATATTGTTGTATTTTTTTAAATCAATGATTTGAGATTAAAGCAGAGTCTGTAAATTTATATATTGTTGTTATTTTACTGTAATGAGTTTGTTGTTAAGGTTATAAGTTAGTTGTGAAGGAATGTTACGAGTTGATTGTGAAGACCACGAGGTGGTTATGAAGACCACGAGGTGGTTGTGAAGGTTACGAGTTGGTTGTGAACCTCGTTAATGAGTTGGTTGTGAATGTTACGAGTTGGTTGTGAAGAATAGTTAACAACAATCACAATCAACTCATTGTCGAGGTTCACAACCGACTCGTAACCTTTACAAACAACTCGTAACATTCACAACAAACTCATAACTTTCACAACCAACGCGTAATTTTCACAACTAACGTGTAACCTTGACAACCAACTCGTAACCTTCTTTCACAGCCAATTCATAATCTTAACAACAAACTCATTATAGTAAAATAATAACAATATGTAAATTTATATACTCTGCTTTAGTTTTAAGTCATCGATTTTAAAAAAAGTACAACAATATGTAAAATAATTAAAAAATATAGCATCAAATTCAAGTATAAGCTAAAAAAGGGGGAAAAAATTACGCCGGGAGTCGCCAGAGTTCTCGCCTTTTTATTCGGAACGTCGACTCTGAATCCATCGCAACTCGTCTTGATCCCAATCTTCTTCATCTTTAAAGATCCACTGTCTTCGTCATCACTGTCTTCAAGATCACAACAATATATAAATTTGGAGGGAATTAGAACCCCCCCCCCCCCAGCCAACCAAAAAACACATCTATTTCAAATCACCACAGTGACATCATGAAAAAAAGAGTGTGTGTGTATTATAGCTTCAACATGTTTAAACTCTTGGTTTTATGTTTGGGGCTCAGAGAATTGTGACTTTAATTTTTGGGGGTTTTGAGAGTGTTGAAAAAGTCTGGGAGGGGGGGGGGGGGGATAATCTATATAATTGTTGCGGTCTAGAAGCAAATTTCCCTAACTTTTATATCTTTATATCATACTGGTCGCATGCTAAATCAAAAATTTAAGGTATGAATCGAGTCCAGAAAGTGCATGGTAGATCCATGTATGAGCATTGGACTCCTCCAGTTTCTGATTCGATCATCGAACAACCGAGTAAGGGCAGGGGTAAATGATAGTATTATTCACTATTTTGGGTAAGGAAATTCAGAGGTATTATTATTCACTATTTTGGGTAAGGAAGAAGAACAAGGCCTCGTACCAAAATAAATAACTAAAAATAAATAAATAACAAGGCACGTGATTGGGCCTGACGTGGGAGCGGCCCATTAATGATAAAAAGCTAACATTTCAACAAAATTTTCCAAATTATTCACTTTTGCCCCTCAAATCCCCCGCTCTCTCTCCACCTCCGGACCCGAATTCGAATCCGAATCCGAAACCCGCATCTCCGCCGCAGTCACCATTCTCCTCCACCACCGATCCCCAACCCGCTGGAACCGCCTCAAATCCGTTCTCCCTATCGGATCCACCTTTTCCCCGCCCGAATCGGAGCAAATCATCATCCGCATCCGAAACAAACCCCAGCTCGCTCTCAAATTCTTCCAAACCCCGCTCTGCTCTCGCGATCCCTCAACTTTCTCCACCATCATCCACGTCCTCGCCCGCAACCGCCTTAAACCCGAAACCCTAGCCCTCATCCGATCAGCTATCCTCTCTCAACCCGAACCCGACAGGCCATTATCCCTCTTCCAAACCCTAGCTAGCACTTACCGCACTTGCGACTCTGCTCCTTTTGTATTTGACCTCTTAATTAAAGGTTATTTACAATCGAAGAAGATTGATCTTGCGGTCGCGATCGCTCGGATTTTAAAATCGAAAGGGATCCAACCGTTGGTTTCGACATCCAATGCGCTGATTCGATTTGAATCACAATCTAAAGGAGCAGATGCTGGGTTCAATATCTACAAAGAACTGTTTGATGGAATCAGGGTTAGGGTTTCCCCAAATGTCGCCACTTTTAATGCACTATCTCTTGGTTTTTACAGAGAAGGGAAGTTGCAAATGGCGGAGGAGATCAAGAAAGAGATGTTGAAATTCAATTGTGAACCGAATGCGTTCACTTATAGCATTCGAATGGCGGGGTTTTGCGACGAGGGGATGATCGATGAAGCAACGAGAATTTGGATTCAAATGAAAGCAAACGGTACAAAGCCTGATGTCATGTCTTTCAATACTATGATTAAAGGGTATTGCGAGTCGAAGGAGATGGAGAAAGCTGAGGAGTTGTTTAAAGAGATGGGGTTGAACCAAATCGAGCCAAGTTGTGCTACGTTCGAGCATTTGATTCAGGGTTACTGTAGGGTTAATGATATTGATTCGGCATTGGTTTGTTATAGAGATGCGAATAGAAGGGGATTTGGGACTGAGAATGTTGTTGTGGATGAAGTGATCGAGGGATTATGCAATAAGAAGAGGGCTAATGAAGGATTGGAGATGCTGAGAGAGGTGATGAGGAGACAGGGCTTTGAGCCGAGTAGGAGGAGCTATGAGTTGTTGATTGAAGGGTTTTGTGAAGAAGGGGAAATTGAGGCGGCGGTAAAGATTCAGGCTGAGATGGCGGGGAAAGGGTTTGGTGCGAATTTGACAGTCTATGGTTATTTTGTTGAGGGGTACAGGAGGTTGGGGGATGATGAAAAGGTGAAGAGATTGGAGAAGGAGATGGTTGGAATCGGACTAGAGAGGGAAGGATAGTATATCATGCCGTAACATGAACCATTTTTACCATGTTTCAAGGATATTTGCTTGACATTGGACAGATGCAAGAGGCTGTAATATGAGATGCAAAGAATGTGAAGGCACGGCAATGAATTCAACTGTTTGAGATCATTGTAATAATCGCACGGGATCTTTTTCAAAGCCTCTGTATATATTCTCAAGCTCAAAGAGTGAATGGTTTTCTTTGAAGAGCAAACAAGAAAGAACTAGTGCGTATCACACATGTAGCTGTCGTTGCTGACCTGCATCGTATGAAGAGTAAACAAGGAAGATCTAGTGTGTATCACACATGTAGCTCGTGTTGCTGACCTGACTCATATTCACACCGTTCGGAATATGCGGATCATCAAGATTACGGTGACATGACCGTGTGCTGGTCATCAAGATTACGGTGACATAAATGTATGCTTCATCGGTGACACGCCAACCAGGAGCGTATTGAGACGCACAAGCCATGGACCACCTGCAAATATGCTTATATAACCTCGTAGAAGTAAATGTCTAAACAAAGCTACACTCGGAGGGAAATAACTTGCGGGTTCATTCCAGCTCCAATCATTTGTAAGATTGTGTATTGCGTCATAATTGAACATGCCAAAGAGTTCAAGCACGCATCTTGGTTTTTCTTGCATGCTTTGATTTTTCTTTTTTTCTTTTTTCCATATATATTATATAGAAGAACATAAAGGAATATGCCTAACAATGGCACAGTGCCCCAGCTCTGGGATTATATTATATACAAAACTTATGTCCTGAAAATTATTTTTTACTTTGCGGCTCTACAAAATTTGAGTAGCCAAAATTGTATCAAGAACTGGAGGCTACAAACCAAAGATTGAAAAGACATGAAATAGCAGTTAGGAACCAAGATACAAAAGCCATCGACGCAGATATCTGGTATCTTCCACAAAGCCTTAGAGGGCAGTAACTTCTATCAAAGTGAGCAAGAAGATCAACAACACTAGCGCTTGCACAGGCTGCTGCCAGTGATAATATTGATAAAACCTGCCAAATTTACATATAACAAGTTAGCGAACGGTGAATTGGAATGAGATTTTCTTCATAAAATAAAATGTAAAGCGTTATACATACCCAATCTCCTACAACCACAATCACCATTATACCTGGTACTCGAACAGGGCATCTTATGAAAAGAGAGTACATGTCTAGCATAGTTAGCGTAGTGCTCCACGGAATCACCAAACCCATGATTGTGACTAGAAAGCTGTCAAAAGCAACATGCAACTAAAATCAACTGACAGTTTGTTCATATGAACTTGTAACAAGATAGTTTCAATGCTCAACTACTAGAGATTTCATTTCAAAAAAAGGATGCTCATAAGAATAGATTGAGCATAGCTCATATTTGTGCATAATAAATTCCAGAGACATTAGTCTGAAATGTGTTCTATCTACTGATCCCTGATTTTGACTAGAATCTCAAGGAAAACTGTCTAAAATGACAGTATGATATCATGTTCTATAATAGGTCCTTTTTGTTCAAGAAGTACTGTATATGCTTGGGACATTGAGTATTGTAAAAAAAAAAAAAAAAATTCTTTCGATCAATTGCCCTGTGCAAATTCTGGAATTATCGAAAAGCAAACTATGGTTTGATCTTTGCGGTGTTTGAATTTACCAGTCAATTCTAAGACTATTAACATGGAGAAAACTCAGGGATGTCATAGAGCCGGACATGTGTTGATGTTTGGAGTCAGTGAATGTTTTGGTAATTCCTAAACCATCATCTTTATATCTTATTATCTACTTGTACAAAATCGTAGATGAATGGAAATTACAGCTAAACAAAAGAAGGGGAACAGAACTATTTATCTTTTATAGCATCTCTATGAAAATGAACAATGCTAATGAACACAGTTGAATTAACATGACAATATTGTATATTGAGCATAAACAAAATGTAGATATGTTCAGAGCTAAGTGGATTCAAGGAATCTGAATAAAAGGGAAGAAGCTGCAAAACTGACACTAGCGACACATTAGATGTTTAATAAATGGTACTTTCCTCACTCATAAAACTGTTAGGATTGAGAAGTGCAAGAGAGATTTGAATCCGAGAAGGGACACAGAAAGAGTATCTATTTCTCTGAACGAGATTCATATTAAATGCTCTTGGCATCTTAAGTATGAACACAAAGATACAAGAGTATGTGGAATACTTTTTAACATCTTAAGGATGATTGAAACTCTTGTTTAAAGAATACCAACATGGACATAAATGGGGAAAAGAAAACAGATGTAGATGAGATGAGAAATGAGCAGGTTTTTATTAAATAGCTATCGTTCATATGCTTATCTTTCAAATTTTACATTGTGCTTTAAAAGTCGGACTTATATCGTAGCATTTAGTCAAGTGTCAGTAATACTTATATGCAGTTTGTTTCGTATGAGAGAACCTGGTTTTTAATTAGACTGGTATATGGTTCCCTCTCTATGATTTACATACCTCCAATTTACGATTTATAATCAATCCACAATCTAATATATATATACAGATTCACTCAGTAATTCTTAGTAATTGCATTGTTGCTAGTCCATAGAAATAAAGTTCATAATCAGATGCATCTTATAGATGAAGAGCGACAGAATCATAATCTTCGAAATTTGTTAACGAGTAAAGTGCTTAAAATGTAAAATACTAGGGACGCAAGGTACCAATTAACTATCCGCCACATGGAGATGGTTGATTGTACCGGGAAAAAACAGGTAGTTAATCACCGAGTATGTGTTGCTTGAACACATTATTCATTGAAAGAGTGAAGAGTTTTAAAGTACACAAACACCATGGATGTTGTTCTTTCTTATCCAAGCCACTAGTTCTAAAGTGATGTATCCTGTGGCAAATTATTCTTATCGGGAATATATTCAAAAGGTAACAATGAAGAGGAAGTCTAACATGAAAATAGAGGATAATATTCAATTCGTCGTCATGAATGAAGCTAGCTGCATCTTTCAACAAAATCACTTTTAGATAAAAAAAAAAAATAAATACCGTATTGTTAATTACATGTTTACAATTGGGAAAACACAAAAATTGTAAATTGGGAGGAATTAACATGTGATTCAACAAATAATATCAATGGAAATCATCAAAACAGCCTACCACTAACCACTTCATAGTTAACAGAAATTACATGCTTACAATTTCATCTAATTATCTTTCAGACTCTTTCTGTCCTCTTGAGAAAAAAAATATGTATTGAACATGAGAACCCCAAACATTGAGATTTCAGGCATTGATCTTCTTGAATTTATGAATTTTCAACATGGGAATTAGAAGTTAAACAAGAAAACATTACAAAAATAGGAATTACATCAGACCAAAATTGGATAATTAAATATAAGCAGAGTGTTATAACATGCAAACTTAGTGACTTACAAAACAACAAAGATGAAATTGACCCAATTATGAAATTCTAACACAATTAAAACAACAACAACAACAACAACAGAATCCCGTTAAAAAAAAGGAGAGATTTTTCTTACCAAAAGGATGTGTAGCTGTAGAATTGAACCCCAACGGACATGAAGAGGAGGGAAGCAGAGGAGAAAACCACTTGCCCTAGCCTGAGAAAAAGGCTGACTTTGGTCCCCAAAGCGCCCGGAACCTCAACCATCGGACGGCCACCAGTAACTCCTCCGGCGAGATCCAACGGTCCTGATTATCCTCTCTGGGCCCCTCACGTCTCTCGCGCGTCGGTACTAATTACCAATTTCACTTCCATTTCAGCTCTTCGCTAATCGCAATTAAATGCTCCTGCAGAGGGAGGGAAGGGTCAAGCGAGTTGAGAGAGAGAGAGAGGAGAACGGAAGAGAAACGGGGGTTTGGTGGTCAGATGGTTCCGTTGCCTTCTCGTCTGGTGTTTATCAACCGGATGCCACGTGGTGGCTCACTGTTACGCGAGCTGCGCGGGACCGATCGAGACCGACACGTGGCAGTTGATGGTCTAAAAGGTTCTATCGCGTCCCTCCGATTCAATGGAGCGTGGGCGTGCCGCGTGATGTCCTCTGTAGCAAAAAAAAATGTTCAGCTTATACGTTCGAAATGCATTAGCCGGTTCGTCTTTTGTATTTTGTAAGAGTCGATTGATGGACAAATTTTCAAAACCACCCCTTTTGCGATTTTATTCTCAAAAAACGACCTCTTTCCTCTTTATTTGTAAAAACCGACCTGGTTTCAGCCTCTTTATTTGTAAAAACCGATCTGGTTTCAGCCTCAGCGCTGAAACCAGGTCGGTTTTTACAAAAAAAGTTCCGAAACTTCACGGGAGTTCAACTCCTGTGAAGTTTAGCAGCTTAATTAAATACCTGTTAAACTTTACGGGAGTTGAACTACCGTGAAGTTTCTTAGTTAAAAAAAAAAGTTGAGCTGTGGAACTTCACGAGAGTTGAACTGCCGTGAAGTTTAGCATCTTAATTAAATGATTGCTAAACTTCACGGGAGTTCAACTCCCGTGAAGTTTCGCCGTGAAGTTTAGCATCTTAATTAAATGATTGCTAAACTTCACGGGAGTTCAACTCCCGTGAAGTTTCGAAACTTTTTTGTAAAAACCGACCTGGTTTCAGCCCTGAGGCTGAAACCAGGTCGGTTTTTACAAATAAGTGGGAAATGAGTCGTTTTTTGGGAATAAAATCGCAAAAGGGGTGGTTTTGAAAATTAGGGAAATAATTTTATAAAATTAAAGTTCAGTTTGGTGTTAGTTTTGAGTCTAGGGTGGTACTAGAATGTTTTTAAACGCGTAGTTTACGAAATGTTTATGAAGTTAAACAAAATAAACTTAATTCGTTAAAAGAAATGAATAACTATATTGGGAGAAAAGATTAAAAAAGATAGGGCAAAATGCTATGACCCCCGGTATTCAAAAGGGAATGTGACTGAGCTCCAAGACTTTGGTTAACATGTGCTTACCTCCTAAGAAACAAATGTGTTTTAGCCTATCTATGCACGTCAGCGGATAGAGCTCATTCGGTCATCAATTAATGTCATGTCACATTCCCCTTTTCTTACTCATTTATATTAATATTCACATCCAAGTAAAAAAACATCTTCCATTTTCCCCTTTTTCGGAGGGTTTTATCCAAAATTTATAAGGGAATGTTTTGCAATTTTTGAATTTTTTTGTGGGGTTGGGGCGGGGGTCTTATGCAAAATTTTAGAGAGTTGTTTATAATTTTTTGAACCTTTTTGAAAAGGTTTTGTAATTTTTTTGGTATTATTTGTAATTTCTGATGTCCTTTTTCATAATTCAATCTTTATACTCTTGTTTGGTACCGAAGGATCATACACAAAATAGTCTACGTAGCTGAAGGGCAGTCCATGCTCACAGACGAAAGAGGCCACCCCAGTGGAACCATAATATTCCCTTGTATTCCCTCATGATTGGGGGGGAATATCACTGAGGGGGCTACTTTCAATTTTCTCTTTTGGCTCAAAAAGAACTTCTAGTTTAAATTGCATCTGAAAACTTTACAAATTGGACCGCCGAACTTTTCAGAGAGCCCGTAATTGAGAATTGGGGATTGAGTTGCGGCCCACAAGGCACGTGCTTGATCGTCCCTTTTTTTTTCTGGGCCATTGGAAGTGGTCAGCTGGACCACCGGTAGAGCATTTGTGGGTCGAATACGTCGACGAGTAGGACTTTTACTTTTGATTTGGGACAAAATAGATACGAATCTTTGATGTCCACTTTTGATGGTTGTGACTCAATCTGCTAAATAAGGATTGGGATAGGGCATATGTTCCACACTAACCAAAAACTAGGCGGTTTCAGGGTCAAAGCTTAAAGAGTAATGTTGCTGTGAAAGTATCGAAAATATGAGTCGAGCCAAAACAAGAACACTACTTATCCAAGTTTAAATTTGAATTTTTAAATCAAAAACACGTACGATTGGATGAAATGGTCCGTCTAGATCTTTTCTGTTGGGTATCTCTAGTCGTGCATTAGGGGCCGTTTGTTTTTAGTGTTTTGGGATGAAAAGAAGAGGAAAGCTGCCACAGTTCTGACAACTGTGGCAACTTTCCTTCATTTTATGGTAAAAAAAAAGTTTCAAACGGGCCCTTAATGTTCAAAGAGTTATTTACTTTTATGGTATGAAAAAAATGCATGTTTTAGACATAAGTATGAGAATTTTTTTTCTTCTTTCAAAATGGTTGTCCTATAGAAGATTACTCCTACAATACAGATTTAAGTTTAGAAATATACATTTTAAATTACTAATATAGTGTATACTTGTTGTACGTTCATGTACCTATTACACGTTAAAAAGAGTTTAAAGTGTAAGTAATATGTTGATATATCTCAATTTGTAACAATATATATAAATTGTTTTGTATAACAAAAGTTGAGAGATTTTTTATTAGTTAAGTTAATTGTTTAATGATGTAAAATAAAAATGTGCATGGATATAATTTTGATCATAGCTACAACTACCCTTGATATTTAGAATTATGAATTAATACATATTTAAAATTATTAAAACAGTTAAATAATACATCTATTATAATTTATTGAATAATACATCTAGATAATGTTTTAAACAATTTACCAAAAAATAATTTACTTAGAATGGCCTTACTATATTTCATTAATCATTTTAATTATATTGATAGTATCTTATATAAAATAAATAATTATATGTGAATATTTAATTAATATAATTATATAATGAATTAGAATGTTATGTATTTAATTAATATATGATGTCTTAAAATATATTTTTATTTATTTTGTACAATTTAATAATAATTTTATTGAACCGCTTCAATTATTTGTTAAACGCTAAAAAAAAGACTCTCTAAATTGATCAGGAAAAATGCTCCCGTTGAGACCCATACTTGAATCATCCATTATTACTGAATCAATTTCAAGCAAATTTCACCTTAAGTTGCCCCTTACATGATCCTATACTTATTATGCATTGAATCTATTACGATGGGAAACAATGTTGTACTTGAGAATATACATGACTAAACTTTCATATTTTGTGTTAATTCCATAGTACTAATTGGTAAAGTGAATCAGCGATCCCTGTTATCTATGGAATTTTTGTGATCTTAGCTCTTGGTTGTATAGTTTTCCTCATAAATTTGATCACAATACAATATCAAAAGCTCAATTCAATACGCAAACCGAAGGAACGTACCTTGAGTCCACCCAATAAGTACAATCTCCAAAATCTGGCCCATAGGTCACCGAAGGAACGTGAAGTCAAGCCAAAATCTGGCCCATAGGTGCAGAGAACATCATCAACAGCATAAGAACCATAATAAAAACAACATAAGAAAATATTAAACAAAAGATTCAAGCAAAAAAAACAAAAACCTATATTTTATCCAACAATTTCCCATCTTCCAAATCCAAAACCATCCAATCCAAACAACTAAAAAAGAAGGAGAATTTGGAGATTTCTTCGACTAGCGCTACTAAAGCCAACTGAAAAGGAGAGAAGAGAGTAAAATGTCAAACCTTGGTAAAGAGGAACAGACTCCGCTTTTGGAATTACAAACTCCTTCCCCATGGGCTTCCAAGCTATTTAATTTTGATTGACACCTCATAATTAATACATAATGCAATCTTTATGACACCACTATCTTCATGATTCCTTCTTCGTCAGTTTAATATTGCGGGACCAAGTAAAGAAATTATTCATTACCTCCCTTTGTTATAAACAAGATGTACGTTGTCAAATTAGATTATGTTAGTGATAATATATGAATGAGAAGGAGATCAAGATTTGTGGAATATGAATGGTTTAATTAGCTTAATATAAGTTTAATGAAGGAGTTATAAAACACAGATGTTAAAATTCATAGTGACTAATAGGAATAGGGATTATGAGAAGAATTTGAAGGGATGCAATTTATGGATGTATGTATATGCATTTATACGTTTAATTTGAAGGGGAGAGGTTTATGCACAAATGTATGAGTTTTAGGGATGCATATATGGGATTGGGATCCTCCCCTAAGGAATAGTGTTTCCCAAGATCTCCTAATGCATCTCAACCATTAATTGCATAGGACCTCCTCATTTTTTGTGCTCATACACAAAATCAAAGGTTGAGATGCATTAGGAGATCTTAGGAAACATTATTCCTTAGGAGAGGATCACAATCCGCATATACGTGTCATGAAGCGTATTTTCGGTAAAACATATTTTAACATTGAGGGGAGAGAGAGAGATCTGTTCTTTGTTTCTTTCTCGTCTTTTGTTGTAAGAGAGCACGAGCATGAGCTGGCGTTTGCACGACGCTTTGATACGTTCTTGAGGGTCGAACGAGCCCTTCTGACCGAGGTTCCATTCCTCCGTCGTGAATTGTGCAGAAACGTGATAGTTTGTCGTTGCGTTGACAAACCACTTGTTGTTTCCTCGACTCTAATCCGATAATTAACGAACTCCGTCGGTTTGTTTCAAATGCCTTAGCTATTTGCTGAGCGCGGCGCGCTGACGTTGTCTCTGACGAGCCCTTTCGTCAGTACCGTGGGCTTTGATTCGATGACTCTTTAACCTAGATAAGAGTCATTATGAGCAGAGGTGTTGCGAGTAAAATCCTTAGCAACCACCGGAGAGAGTCTTCATTTGTCCTTCTTTGGCATGTAGGTCTTCTCTCAATTGTGAGATCCTCTTGTATTTACGAGACAATGAAGATCTTGAAGAGGATATGAGAGATATACTCAAATTTGGTTTGGTCGAATTCGTATTCGACCATGGATTCAACTGGAATCTTGATCGCTGCGACACGACGGTCTCGGCAGCGAGACCGTTGCTCCCACTGTGGTCGCCAGTTTGTTTTCGTCAAAAGATGATTTGTCAATGGAATCATTATATCTTCGGTCGATTACAATAAA